TTTTTTTTTCTTTTATTGGTAATGGATTAAGAACCCACCTAGATTCCTATCTTTTCATTAGTAATATATTTGTTTTCTTAAATCAGAAGTTTACTTTTGTTATAACCAAATTCATCAAATATGCACATGATCTGTAGAACATGGTATGGAATCTTGCAGTTGCAAGTCCACTGTGTCTTTAGATAATAGTATAATGATTCGCCATGCATAATACTCTAGGAACTTTTCTGGTAATTTCAGATACCTCCAACTTTGCTAGAGGCAATGTTGTGGAAGGGAATGGAGGGTGAATTATTCTCCTTCCATAGAAAAGGTATAGTAATTGTGTTTTTATAATCTTTTTGGTGGCTAAAGTGATTTGCTCTGTGTGAGTGTATCCCAAAGGGGGAATAATTAGAGATCTCCAGATTTAGATTTTATGCCACCACCATATCATGTACAGGTATTTTAAGCCTCATCAGATGCCAATAACAAATTCTCCAAATTCAGATGATGAAAAATATTAATCTTGGGGATCAGTTTTGGTTGGTTTCTAGTTTTCAACTTTTGTTTTGTTATAACTTTGATATCTTAAGACCTGTTTTCTTAGTTTTTTTTTTTTTTTTTTTCTCATTTCTTGCTCTTTTTTGTTTTTTCAATTCTGTATTTTTTACTGGTATGGACAAGTTTTCCATGATTTTATTGGATTATTACCTGGAAAGAGTTGTCTTTTTCATATATGGTTTGGCTTTGGTTATGTCAATGGATCGATGTTCATGCCTGTCTATATTAAGAATAATTAAAGAGATGCACACATAGTATTTTATATATTTATATTCAAATCTTAGAGAATAAGTCATTGTGGAATATTAGTGGGAATTTTCTACCATTCATTTGAATTCAACCCTCCTGTTCTCTTTATCTGCATCTCCTTTTCTTGTGAATCTGCGTGTGTTTTCCGTGTTCTGTAATGTTTGTAAGTCATTTATTTGATGCTGGCCAGTGACACTGAACAGAAATTTTTTTCTGCTTTCTGTTGCTCTTGCCATACTTGGCTCGAAGCTTGCTTTGTTCATTTTGTAAATGAACACTCAGAAAATCGATTGCCAAGAACATGTAGAACAGAACCGTGCACTGAGTAGGGACTGCAGTTTTGATTATGTTCATTGCTCCTCCCGCTATCCTGCTGCACAACAGCCTTGGAACATGGGATTCCGTGTTCAAGCACCAAGCTTGGAGGGAGGATCACAGCAGCAAAATCCTGGACTTGCTAAACCTTGCAGTACAATTATGAGCCAGTTTTGTTCACCAGCTTCTCCTTTCTATGCAACTGAACCCTACATGGGGTTTCCTCAGTATGAGGCTCAAGTTGGTAATCCTTCTTTCTGCTCCCAGCATCCCAAGACCTATGATTCTTCACTGTTTCCTTCATTTCATGCTTCTGGGGACAGCTTTTCTATTGAGGCGGTACCACAAGTTGAATCCAACTTTGAATTCAGAAACACATTGCAGTCACTAGTGAAATCCCAAATTGGTAGCAATCAATACCAGAAATCCTCTGAAAAGTGCTATAAAAATCCTTGTGGCAACCTGCAAGAAAGTAAGCTTCCTGCAGTTGATCAAAATAAGTTGCTTGGTAATTTTTCTGGGAATCACTTTTCAGTTCCTATGGAAGGAAATCAGGATCGAAGAGTAAGTAATTCTATTTTGCCTAATTTCAGGATCAAATGAAGTTGATTTTTATTGTGGCTAATTGATTTTGTGCAGGGTTATTGTAATTCATACACTTCCCCCCTCATGCAGTTGAGCTTCTCTTCTCAAAAGGAGCCTCCAAGCTATTCTCTGGGGAGTTTTTCTGTTTCTTCCTGTAACTCTGTTTCATCTGGGGCTGTTCCCACAAATAAAACAAGAATAAGATGGACTCAAGATCTCCATGAGAAGTTTGTTGAGTGTGTTAACCGCCTTGGGGGTGCTGAGAGTGAGTAAAACAAAAGAACACTTTCTGTTCAATAAAAAAAACTGCTGCTATGATCTGTTTACTTACTTTTTTGATCTTGGTTATAGAGGCAACACCGAAGGCAATACTGAAGCTGATGGATACAGATGGACTGACCATCTTCCATGTTAAAAGTCATTTGCAGGTATTGATGCAGTTTCAGACAGCTTTGGACTATACTTTAATTGGCATATTCTTTCTGCAAAATCTTAATCTGAACACTCATTTCTTTTTGCCTTATGTTTTGTAGAAGTATCGAACGGCAAAATACTTGCCAGTCCCTTCAGAAGGTACATGAATATCCTTTTTATTATGGTTTCTTACATTTGTATGGTGTATTCTGTTTCTTCCTCTTCTTCTTAGCTGCTATTTATGCATCTGCAAATTCATACTGGAAATTGGGATAAGGAGATGAGAATTGTCAATTTGCATTTGTTTTAGTTAACTGAAATTTTATCTGTGAATTTACTCGTAAGTACTGTTTTTCATTGCAGGGAAATCAGAGAAAAGAACTAGCATGAATGATGGGCCTCAGCTCGATCCCAAAGCGTAAACTTCATGAATTTCTTTCTACATTCAAGTTTCAAGTCCAGCATTTACATGAATATAACAATTTCCAATTTCCACTGGCAGTGGCTTGCAGATCAAGGAGGCATTGCAACTTCAGTTAGACGTCCAGAGGCGTCTCCATGAACAACTGGAGGTATCATTTGATTGAACATTGGTTGAATTCATCTTAATCCTGTATGCATTCACATCTTAATCCTGTATGCATTCACATCCCATCTTAAACCAAAGCCATTAGAGTTTCAACCACTTGTCTGTTTGTTTAAGGACTATTCATTGATAGAGAACTGCATGATTTAGTGCAGTTCATGTGTTATATATGGTTGAAGGTAAATTATATACGAACTTGTTTTACATACCCTTTTTCTTTTCTGGTTAGATTCAGAGAAATCTGCAGCTGCGAATTGAAGAACAAGGAAGGCAACTCAAGATGATGTTTGATCAGCAACAGACAAAAAGGGAGAGCCTCATGAAGAATCAAGACTCCAACATCTCACCGCTTGATGATCCATCCTTTATTCTAGACGATGTTGAAGTTTCAATTGATGAGAGCACAGGAAACACTCACTTCCCATCCAAGATAAGTTAGCCAATTAGAAAGTACGGATGGAGTTCCTAACGAATGCTTATTAGTTAGTCTCTTCGGCAGAATCAAGCCATACTGTAAACTCAGTGAATATACATAAAGACCATAGAAGCATACACATAGGAATTCAAGAATCCTTTATCCATGAAATCATATTTTTGCCTGGCTTTTGAAATTGTATCTGTTTGTAGAAGAATGTGTGCTGAATTTTAAGGTGTAACGGATCTCTATGAGAGCCAACAGGATATAAAAATTAAAGATTCAATACTAGGATGTGTTAGAACTTTTGTGGACGTCATTTCATAATAGAGGATAGTCCTCTCTTTTCTCAAACCATTCATCACATTTGTTCAATGTTTACATAAAAGGACAAAAAGGCTCTAAAACAGTAGGAATGTCGACATAATTTGTCATGATCATTTGGGATGGTCGTACCAATGTCTTCATTCCTAAGTCTATGTTGAAAGGAACGTCATATGTTGGATTCACAATTTCACATGATATATTTGTAGTTGTTTGGGCAAATATAGTTCAAACTCATTTCCTCTCTCTTTGCTACAAATGCAAGATATTTCCAAAGGCTGCCAGAGGCATAGGCATGTAAATTGCAGTGCTTGGGACGCAGGTATGGTAATTCAGCCATCTATGTTATTGGTTAAAAAAAGTGTTTTGCCATTCGGTGTACAATGTAAAACATCAGCCATTAGATTAGAAGGATCTTTCCACCCAGAGACTGGTGTTGACCCTCCTAATTTAATGGTTGATATTTTACAGTTTGGTGTAGTTTGATATTTTTTTTAATCAATTCCCTTCTTTCTAAAAAAAATAAAAATTAGGAATTGAAAGTGATATCAAACAATTTTGGGTGTACTTAAGATTGTTGTGAGGTAATGTAGTTGTAATTGTAGTTGTGATTGTGTTGAACTGTACTATAAATGTGATTGAAAATTATTTTGATATTTAGATACTTATTTCTTAAAAGTATTATAGATAATATATGGTAAATTTTATTAATTATTAATTAAAATTTTAAAAATATTATATGATGTATAATTATTAAAATGGACTACATTTATTATTTTTTAATAATTTAATTAGAGATCAAATATTTCTAATATTCTTATTAATTTCAAATATTTTGTTTGATGAAATTTAAAATAACATTTTTTCTAAGATAATTTTTCGTGGAAGGTGTAATTTGGTTAGGACAATTACGTTTAGGTTTTTAATGTTTTACATTGATAGATATTATGCTGGGTTTCACAGGTGTGGGAATGGAGTTCTTAATTTTGTTTGGAAGGTGTAATTGAATTAAACAATATTGAGTTTTAGTAATTTTATAATTATATTAAATATTAAGTATTATTTAGAAATGTCACAATTAAAAAGTTTCAAAACAAAAGTTCTGACTTTATATATTTGTTATGATTTTCTATAGTTTTTGAAAAAAAAAGTAGCCCCAAAAAAATTACTAAACATACATATGTCATGTCCCATAACCTAGAGCGGAACAGACGTTGTACATTTGTGAGTAAGACCTACAAGTGCATTAGGCTCCAAACCAAGTTAACTTACTATCCAAAAATTGAATACAATTAAATAAAGTCTACTAATACCTCTATTATTATTAAAATTTAAGCAATGTTCAAATAAATCCTTCAAAATCAAATTATGCAATAATTGCAAATCAAATCCTCAACTTTCTAATAAGTCCAAAAGAATTAAATCAAGTTTCAACTAAGTCCAAATTGACTCTAATAAGTATCCATTACATGCCTTTCCCCGCAAAAAAAAAAAGTTTTTATTTTAAAATTAATTTATTCTTTAAACTCAAATCCAAACCCAAACCCAAACCCAAACCCAAATCCAATCCAATTACAATTAAACTTAACCCAATACTATCTAACCCAACCCAACTCAACCCATTCCCTTACATTTAACCCTAACCCTAATTTATTTTAATTCTCATCATTCACAGTGTCACTCTCAATCTCTTTGTCTACGGCTCACCCATCTTTCACCTCTATCTCACCTTCTCAGTTTCCTCTGTTGTTTTTGCTGCCGAAGCTTGCTATCGAATCTATCTCCTTTGCTACTGCTAAAGTCATCTACTTTGTTGTTGTCGAATCCATCTACTCTGTTGTTGTTGCCGACGAAGCCATCTGCTGTTGCTGTCGGAGCCATCTGATATTATTGGTGGGGAACGGGGATCCCCGTTCTTGTGAGTCAAACTATCAAAACTCATTTTCAATCCTTTGTGTTGCGACATGTGGGTTTTGCATGGTGGTTGAAAAAAAAAGCATGCAAATTTCAACCTTTGAAATTTGGTTGCATGGGAAATCTCATGGCAGCCCAATTTTGTTGAAAATTTGGAAGTCTTATGGCAACCTTTGAATGGAAATTTGGTTGCTACAACTTTGTCCATGCAACATTTATTGTGCATGGTTGGATGATGACTTTGGAGCCCATTGCATTCATTGTGGGTGGTTGGCATTTGGCTATAAAAAGCCATTTGGCCATTCGGCAAAAACACCAAGAAGAGCAATCCAAAGCAAAGTGAGCTCTAGAAAATACAAGAGTTTTGTGAGTGCTTTGGGTGAGGGTGAGCAAGAGCAGGGTGGTTAAAATTACTTTGCTGAGTGTTTTTTAGTGTGTCTCGCATTCAAAAATACTATGAGTAAGATTTGGGTGTAATTGGGGATTGGGTATTTTTTTTCTGAAAGTACCACAAATTGTATCTCCCTATTTTAATAATGAATTTTTCTTTGTGAGTGCCCGTGGACGTAGGTTCAATTAAATTGAAGCTGAACCACGTAAATTCTGTCTTTTTTGTGGTGGTGCATTTTTTATTCCATTAATTGCTTAATCTTGTAGTGGGTTAACTAAAATCTCAAGCAATTTGTTCCAACACTTCATCAAAAAATTCTTGCAGAAATCCCTGTCCCTGTGAGTCACAAGGATGGGGACGGGCTCCCCAACCCCACGAGGCCCCATTGACATCCTTACACGGGCACCATGGCCCCTGCTATTTTTTATATTATTTTAATAGACCAATAGGTGTCAACACCTAATCTGTTACCAGGATTAAAGTGTCACACTACTGAAAATTCCAGAACAACAAAGCGATGGCGACACTACAATGCGTCATCACGCATGCAGCAGCGCCGAGCACCCACACAGTCACGTGGGTGCTGCTATACTGTGATTCCTTCGTCTCCTCTAATTTCTACTAATAAATCAATAAATATATATATATATATATATATTTACACTATCTTTTACTAATTGTGGCAAGATATGAAAACTCATTAGTATATAAGATTTTGATATCAGATCTAAAACAAAACATTAATAACAAGTGTAAAAAAAATCTGAGAATTATAATATTGGGTTTAGCAATAAAGATCTAAGGAAACAATAAAGGACAAGAAATCAAGAGTAACAGATATACTCACTTTTAAAATCTTAAAGTTGAATTCTAAGAGAAGAAGATAGCTGGATCTAGGAGGAGGTGTTTACTACGTAGAAACAAATTTACATTGAGAAGGGAATAGGGTTAAGAGACAAACTTCACAT